GCTAAGATGGCAGCACCACTTGTGTAATGTCACGCTGTGAACAAAGTGTTTTTTACTCCATAAATTTATTGGGAATAGTGAGATGACACAGAAACATTCATCCTAATGTTCAAACAGAATCAGTAAACATTTGATTGAATTTACTGGGACTGTTTAACTCTGGAGAAAGGTTATGAACAGTTAATTTCTTACCTGTTGTAGGTAGCTCAGTTTGGAGATACAGAGGTTCATTCTGACTGGATTAATAACAGCTAGTCTGAGCAGGGCCAAGATCAAAGTGGATCACTGCCATCTCAAAACAACTCCAATCCCAAATGTTTAATAGCATTTCATGCAAACACTAGGGTTGGGTGATACTGGCAAAGAAAATAAAAAGTTAATGATGTTTTAACCAATAACAGCTCGTATAAAGATAAATGACAAATGCACTTGCATGTTTTTGACTCTAAGTCACTCAATGTTCTAAAATTATACTTACAAATCATCAGTCAAACTAACCTTATTTTAACAGCCACGGCCCACCCCACATTATCTCCTTCCTTCCCCTGTGTAAAGGACAGATTGACTGAGAGCATCGTGGATTCTCAGCTAAGATTTGTTTCCACCATTCCCTGCAGTTTGCYGTAGCTGACACTGCCTTTGTCTGCATCCTCTGGCTTTCCTCGTACTCTGGTTTAAAGCAGTGTTTCAGGTGATTTAACCCAGTGGTTCCCAAACTTTTTATCTTCTGACCCACAAAATATCCATGGCAAAAACTTGTGACCCCAAATATTACTGGTCTGAGTACATGAACTTCATTAATAACCCTAAAAACACAGGCTTGTTTTACAATCTAAACAGCTTATACACAAATAGAAATACTTATTTATACTTATTTTGTGTTTTTGTAATAATTATAGGGAAAATATTACATCAGCAATTATTTTATTACCCTTTAAATTGATTTCTGGAGATTATCCAAGGTGCTTCATGACCCATAATTGGGTCCCAATCCCAACTTTGGGAACCAAAGTGCAGTGGTTCCCAAACTTTTCAGCTTTTGACGCACAAAATAACAGTAGCAGAGACCTGAGCCCCCAGCTGTTGTTGGATGATAAACATTTGTATCAGGTCAACTAAACATGGACATAGTAGCAACATTTATTATTCTACATTTATCCATTTTAAATACACTAACCTCACTTCTTTTTGTAACAACTAAGGCAAAATGTAATTAATTCAGAAAATCTTTTCAGGACCCCACCTTGATGTTTCGGGACCCCACTTTGGGTCCTGACCCCAACTTTGGGAAACACTGATTTAACCYCCCTGAGCTGTTGGCTTTGAGTAACCGTGGCCCCCTAAGGAATTTAGTTGAACCCTGGTTTATTGTATAATTGACAGGAGTGTAAAGTTTCTAAAACGGTATGAGCGGCAAAGAAACTTTTTAAATTCAGTTGTTTGAAGATGCCAGTTATCCACTTTGTTCTTGTCCCCTTTCTGACTAGTCGTGAGCTCATCAGTCTAATCAGAATTTAAAAAAATTCCTTAAACTGACCTACAACAGGTAAGATATTTATTGTTCTTGTTGATAATTGAAAAGCCTGAACTATCTTTACGTTTTTTTAAATTGTTTTCTCTGTGGCAATAAGATGTCTAACTTCAGATGTTGATTGAAAAGATGTGAGGCAAAAATGCAATTTTCTTTTTTCTTTCTTTATTTAAGCACAGCAGATTGTACAGTGCTTTAGTAATGATTTTTAAAAAAACACCGGGGTTGTGATTTAAAGAGTTACCACAACACAGTTATTGATCAAATACATACGCACACACAGAAAATGCTTTTATACGGTTTTGTTATGAAAATAATGAACTCAAATGCAAATTTGTGACTTAAGTATTCACTAAATGTTGTTTTTTTTTAATTATATGACGTTTAAAATACATCACAGTTCATTTATAACACCCTTGACAGGAAACAGAATAATCAGAATTCACTTATTGGTGAAAATGGAGAAACTTTGGCTAAAATGAATTTAAGAAGCCATAAATATTGAGCCACCTGGACGGGTCTGTTTTAGTCTGATATTCCACTGATATAAAGAACTCCCCTGTAGCTGCTGAAAGGTGATCAGGTTCCCAAAAAAAAAAAAAAAAAAGGCTGATGTGAACAAAGAGCCTGCAGTATCTGATCACTGGTCTGTCTTTAAGGACAACTTCATCAAAGGGCTCCTGTTATCAGCCGCAGGCGGCCAAAGTGGGGCCCGCTCCTAAGTTCTGCTTATTCTCTTCATTAACAGTGAACCATTGTGCTTGTTGGGGGAAAAAAAGAAAAAAGAGAAAGAGAGAGAGATGTGTGTGTTGTTCTTTTTTATTTGTAACTGGCTTTACAAAGTTATGCTTTAATAAATTATTGGAAACTGTCTGATGCTTAATGTCTTCTTTGTTCTTATTCTGTCTGACCCAGAAATAAATCTGTGAAATTTGTTTAAACAGCACTGAARGTGATTTAAAGTTACACAAAAGCGTGGGGTAAAAGTGGAGTTCTCTTTTTCTTATCCCTCCCTGCTAGGCAGACAGATGTTTTTATCTGGATTTCTGTGTTTTGTTGCCAAACTATTTCAACACAAAGACAAAAATGGCTATAACTCACACACAGTGAGTTTAAAAAGTCACTCATTAACATTTTGTTGGACCACATTTAGCTTTGGTCACAGAACACAGTCACTGTGGCCAATGTTGTATAAAGTATCTCAAAGTGATACTTGAGTAAAAGTACAAGTATCTTATGAAAAAAATTACTTCAGTAAAAGTTAAAGTCTGCTTTAGGAATATTACTAGAGTAAAAGTATTAAAGTGTCTGATATTTTTTGCACTTAAGTATTAAAAGTAAAAGTATTGATTTAAAATGAGCAGTTAGATTTCTGTGATGACTTTTATTAGGAGGTGACCTCCCCCCCCCAAAAAAAATGCAGAAATGACTGTCATATTAAAATGATTAATTTATATTAAATTTAGGATGCACTGTTTCAGTTTATGTACATACTGTATATCAAGGCTGCCCAAACCTTTTCTCATGAATGAAAATCTATCTGAGTGCTGCGGCCAATAATGTAATACATGAAATACAAATACCTCCTCAACTTTTGAATACAGTATCCGAATTTCATATATTTATACTTCTCATTCAACCACAATTAAATTCATTCTATCTAGGAGGCACAATTTAAATGGATAGTTTTTATTTTTTTACAATAACAAGCTGGAATGAAATAAAAGCAACGACTTTCTACTTCTTGTCTTTTTTAAAAATGTAAGGAGTGGAATTAATTGTGTGAAAATGTAAGAAGTAGAAGTAAAAAGTATGCTGAAAAATAATTACTCAGGTAAAGCACAGATACCCAAAAATTCTACTTAAAGTAAAGAAGTATTTGTATTTAGTTACTTTACAACTCTGACTGTGGCATTGTTTCCGCAAGCTTCTGTGACGTCACAACATTTATTTTCTGTCCAGAGTTTGCATCTTTTGCCAAGATCTTGTAGGGATGATGGGAGAAATGGACGGCTGCAAAAACTCTTCTCCAGAACATCCCAAAGATTCTCAAAGTGGGTTCRGGTCTGGACTCTGTGGAGGAAATGACGTCTCAGGCTTACTGAACCGCTCTTTCACAGTTTGAGCTTGATTAATCTTGAAATTATGTCATCAGTTAAGAAAAGATCCACTGATGGATCTACTCTGGTCATTCAGGATATGCAGGTGGTCAGCTGACCACAGGTGAACCCAGATCATCTGACTCCACAGGTTTGTACCGTATAGGCACAAGACATGATGACACACAAGACTTGAGCCAGCTCTCCTCTGACCCCGATGCTCCCATCACTCTGCAACAGAGTAAATCTCACCTCATCAGACCACATTACCTTCTTATAGTTCTTAACCTGATTTTAGCAGGTTCAGCTATTTCCTTGGACCAGGGCTGTCAAACTCATTTTCACAGAGGGCCACATGAGCGTTATTGTTCCCTCCAATAACCAGTTGTAAATAACTTCAACGTTTCATTTTTAACTTTGATTAAACATGGAACATCGCGTTCCTCATCTCACTGATACGGCTGAGCACCACTAAGGAACAATACGTGAGCTCTACGTGGTACTTCCTGCATAGAAACAACACTTTAACATGTCTTCTTGCAAGACATCGTGTTCATTACTTGACAGGCAAAGCAGATTCATGAGACAATTTTCCTATTTTCGACAAACATTTAATTGCGGAATACAAAGTCTTACACAACGTACAGCTGGACCAAAAAAAACAAAACAAAAAAAAAAACAAAAAAAAACCCAGACCTGAACCAAGGTTTCGGCCAAGAATCAAGTATCAGGAAAAACTATAGATTTCATGCACAACCTTCAAGACGTCACTGATTTGGAAGGCTCTTCCTGCCAAGCAGTTCRGTCTCAAACACGAGTTCTGCAATCTGTTTGTCTGTTGTGGCATGTTTTATCTAAACTGGCCCTCAAAAGTACGATCTGTTCCGAGATGACCTTTATCACGACGAGTCACTCAGAATAGACTACTACTTAATCACAGCTAATTTGCAGTAAGAACTATATAATTACACTTTTCAAAAGTAGTTCAAATTAAACTCCACAGCAAAGGAACACTATAAAAGYCTGTCTTAAAAAATCTGCTTGTTATTTACAATATTATAAAGTCATATATTATATAAATGATACACGCTTTGCTTGGGATGAATGATTTAGTGAACTAACTGTATTAGGTGCAGACCAGCAAGGGAGAGAAGAGTTCAGACGCTAATTACTGCCTGTCAAAAGGACATAAGGAAGTGACCAAAACACAAAGATCCACAGAAACTTTTAAGGAAAAACTGATGTAATTTTCCTGGACACCCCTGTGTGAGCGGTGGTCTCAGTCTGGACACTCCTGTGTGAGCGGTGGTCTCAGTCTGACCACCCTGTGTGAGCGGTGGTCTCAGTCTGGCCGCCCCTGTGAGTGAAAACTGATGGGGAACACAAAGGTCCGCCTGAACGCGCACCTGCCTGTCTCCGTTCTGCGCTGCGTCACGCGCGTGCGTCACAACAGTTTGGTTTCCGTCTCCTCAACTTTGCTCTTCTTGTTTTTACTCGTCGACCTCGGCAGACGCGACTTCACATTCCTCAACAAATCAAACAAGCTACTCGTGGGAAGTCTTCGAAGCGTCGACATGATGGGATTACGGATTTTATTCCCGGTTCTCCTTCTGRTCTGCTGCCTGGCGGCAGTTTTCGCCGAAGATAAAGACGGTAGGAATGAAAATATGAAACCGTTGACTTTCAGTTGTTCTTTTTTGTTGTTGTTGTTTTGTCACGTGGTCTGTATTAGGATTGTTATATTCTTATCAATTTTGTGGTTTAAACCCCTAAACAAAGCTGTTTTAAATTAATTTTGCTCGGGGATTATTTGGCCTRAACATCACAGTTTCACTGAGAAGCTTTGAGTGAAACAACTAGTTCGTTTAATCTGAGTTTTACAAAGAACAGACTGAAAGGAATTTGAACTGAATGTCTCATTTATTCTGCTTCTAAACCAGCACACAAGCAAAACAAGGGTGATTTTAAATGTATTTGAACACTTCAGTCCTCTGACTTGACTCAACAAGTTCAGGAATGCAACACAAAATAATAATAAGACTTAGAAAAAAGACTGTTCACTTTGTTTACATGGCTTAACCCCCCATTGTTTTCTGTTGTTTGTCTGCTGAAAATAGCAGCTCGTTTCTTCAGCTCAGTCTCTGTAGAAAAATGTCCCAGAAGGATCAGGAGTGGTTCTGGGAAAACACTGAAATCCACAGGCCTCACTTTATCCCCTCTTACAGTTTTCAACTAACTTGTGTTCAAGTGTTTGATATGAAACATGTTTGAAACTTTAAATAAGTTATGTTWGATACGTTCTCTTAAACTGACAATTAATTGTTGTTGTGTTTTTTTCTTTTCCAACAGTGTGTGAGAAAAAAAATGCGACAAGCTGTGACGAGTGTCTGAAAAATGTGTCTGTAAGTGAATTTCTGCTGAGTTCAATCTGATGCATGATGACTGAAAGTGTCCCGGACTATGGAGGAACTGTAGCTGGTCCTCTGAACCGGTCCGACCTGTTGGAGGAGTAACTGCTCTGAAGTCCACTCCCAGCCTCCCTCACCATTTTGTTGATCAAAAATACTTCTGTTTTTAAACAAGGGTCAATCTGCAGAAGTTTTTCTGCTTTTATTTCTAATATACATACGTATATATA